CTTATAATTGCTATACGGAGGTAATGAGGGCTTTATACTCTCTGAACACAGCATGGCATTTCTACACCGTAAATACCTGAATTGGCAGAATTAACGAATGGATTTCCTTCGAATACAAATGGTTGAATATATCAATGTCGACGTTCTTATACTTCTGGTCATTGGTTTTCGATCTTTTTGCAACTTTGTCTCTCTACCACAGTATGCTGAAGGCACACAATATTCAAATGAAAATAGTTGCAAGGTTCGTTGACAGCTACAACATTTTGAAACAGAACAAAATCCTGCGAAGTGGTAACACAAATTCAGATAGTGTCTTCCATATCTCGATTTCATTACATTCCAGCTGCGGTAAAGTAACATTCCTCTGCGTTTACAATATATACATATTTAGCTTGAACACCGTTGAATATCACGCTAATTCTACAAACAACAGCCACCTGTGTTAATGCGAAGATCATCAGTAAAATGAATGTAGCACTCCGGCTGATTTATATTTCTTTACATTTGTAAAAAAATACGCTAGATTTAGCTACCTCATTCTGTCGAATGAAGATAGCTCAGTGGTAGAAACTGAAAACAAATCGGTTAGGTTTCAAACCTGTCTTGAGAAATTTGGTTGTCTAGTCGGACTGAAGAGCAGTGATATTTAGAACAGTACTGTCTGCGAAGAATATATATATGCAATAGATATATGGTAATTGGTTTTTCCATCTTTTTGCCACTTTGTGTATATATATATATATATATATATATATATATATATAATATATATATATATATATAGCACAGATATATTTAGTTTTTCCATCTTTTTGCAACTTTGTGTATATACATATATATATATATATATTTGCAATAGATATATGGTCATTGGTTTTTCCATCTTTTTGCAAATTTGTTTATATATATATATATTTTGCAATAGATATATGGTCATTGGTTTTTCCATTTTTTGCAACTTTGTGAATATATATATATATATATATATATATATATATATATATATATATATATATATATATGGTTATATGGTTTTTTTCCGTCTTTTTGCAACTTTTTGTATACACCCACACACACACATATATATATGTTCATTAGTTTTTACATCTTTTTGCAACTTTGTATATATATTATATATATATATATATATATATATATATATAAACTATAATGTTTGTAGTGAGCTTGAGCATTTCTTTCTTATTATTTACTGTTGAAACTACTTAGTGTAACCGAAAGTTCTAACAGTTTCATCCCTTCCCGCTTGTTAAAAAACTCCTCCACCCTCTCTCTCTCTCATGACAACTACGATCTTCAAAGATTTATATTCAAGTCAATCATCATTTTCTGTCTTTTTAAATTTTATACTTTTTATTGGCCTTTTTAATGAATAACGTTCTCTCAGTTTCTTTCAATCTTAGTACTCTTTTGCGGTTTAGTGACTTTACTGTCTTATTTGGCGAGAAATGGAAAAAAAAATAATTAACATAATGAGAACATTTTTATTTCTTCAAAATATACAATAGCATTCGCAGAAAAGAAAATGATACTTTTTTGTTGTCTTTCGGTATCACCTTTCATTTATTTTGTTACCATAATTATTAGTGGCGAAATCGAATTTCTTTGAGTGTCTTTGTGTGAGAATCTAAGGAACAAAAACTATGATAATTGTATTATCACAACAGATTTTCTTTTTTTTCTTTTTCGTCTATTTATTTCTATTTGAATTTAAAATCATTTTTATTGTATTTTAAAATTTTGCGAAAGCATTAACTTATAAATTATACATTTCCTACCCACCAGTATATCGCGATATCGTGTTTGACAAAAGAATCTAATCTATACTCTTTTAACAACAGTAATTCATATTTGCCAATGATAAATTCCGCATTTATGACGCTTTTATACACCTGTCTCTATCTCTGAGATTAGGCATTGTAACTATTTACATTATGTCAATCGGACTCCTCTTCTCATCTTTATTGCCATATTCACGGCGTTTCGGTCGTTGTACGTTCCGGTCTTCTTCAGATTATATTAGTTAAAATGTCGAAATAAATCTTTTATTTAATCCGCGGAGATACACGGTCCTAATCCCGTGTTTTATGTAATTAGATATCTTAATTTCAGTTATTTTCCTTTAGTAACTGAACTCTCCAAGATTTTGTTCCCTCTAATGTGGCCGGGGTTAGCCTTTGGGTCAAATCACTTATAAGATCCCTCAAGCAATGCTTTTATCCCTTGGGACATGTGTCTTCGGCGATATGTCCGAGTAGATAAAAGCGTTTACCCACTATAGTAATTTATGAAGAACAGGAAAGAAGAAGAGATCACTTTTAGATTCTGGGATGCATATATTTATATGTTTTGTATTAGTGGACACTATGTATAAATTTGATAGATGATGAAGATTATTTCAAACATATAACAAACATGACATTTATTCTATTGAGACAATATAGAAAATACCAAAATTTTATATTTAAGTTAAAGAATGACGCAAGTTTGGCTTTAGAAAAGCTCCGTCATATGGTGCCAGAAGAAAGATATATAAGGTCTAGTTTTATGCCCAAGTCTTGGAGTCGAAAAATGAGCACGAGCTTCATATCTCCCCTTGGAGTAGCATGAAAAGTGATCATGATTGAAAGGTTTTGTAACCAATACGCAAATGCTGTACATGTAACTTTCATTTAGGCAGAGCAATAAAATCTCTTGCTGTTATCTGTGCGTTTTAGTGAGTCCGTGTTAACTAAAAAAGCAAATGTCTGGTATTCAGCGTACAATACACAGCTGAAATGGCTGTAAAACATCATGGTTTTGCTACTATCAGATTGTACCTAAATTTGGTAGAGCAGTTGACACTGTACTCACATAAACATTAAAAAAAATATTTTTTATGTTCCTGAATGCATTAGTTTCATGTGTTTATAAAATCATTTCATCTCAAACAAGGCAATAAAGCAACTAAGACACAAGTGGTTACAGGGTGTTGGAGAATATGAGAAATTAAAACATTGATAAAGAGATGGAACAATGCTGGAACAAGAATTAAGAAGACCCAAGATAACGATTGACATTGCATTTACATTTTTGAATATCAAATTTGATGTCGAAGCAAGAAGCCGTAAGTGAGTTGCACAGTTGAGAAGTGCGATGGAAGAAATTCTTAGCTAGAACACACCGCATACATCCAGTAATTTTGATTGTAATGTGAAGAGACCTTGTCGCCAATACAGTACTGCGCTGAAATACATAATGTCTAGGTACCATAGTGTAAATTTAATCATAACAAATTCTATCAATATAATTATAGAAAAGACACAGGGAATATATTTGGTTGGTAGGAAACTTCCTGAAGCCGAGATACCAGGTAAGGACCAATTAAATTGCAGATTATTCTTTGGATGTTATCAAGAACCTTTAAATATATAGCAAGGACACAAAAATAAAGGACGAATGGTTGACTTATAATTTTTTAGAGAATTTTAAAGCTTTTTGTAGGTAGTCATAAACAAAGAAACAAGCATTGTTTTGGGTTGATTTCTATTTATTTAAAATAATTTAATTTGGAAGTGTTTACTGTCTCATCTAATTGAATTTGGAGGATTCTCGCGTCGTTTTTTTTTTTTTTTTTTTTTTCGCGTATGACTGTCCAGCGGTTCTGTTCGTAGAGCCAAACAAGCTGACTACCGCACACATGATTATAGTCGGGAAAGAGTGTATAGAACCAACCACAATTTTTTGGAAGAACTGAATACAGCGAACATCGTGCCATAAGGTACTTAAACGAACTTTTCAGCAACACGTAGGATAACTCTGAATTCAAAACATATGGAGACTGGTTAGGAGAAATTGTCCGCCATTTCTGTTTATTTTCTTCTTCCAAAAATTGTGGTTGTTTCTGCACATGGTTCAACACTATAATCAAATCATGTCTATTTGTTTCTAAGAACTGGGATGAAGAATATGCTTGCAAAGTTTAAAGACACACACATGCATATATATATATCTTATAAATTCATTGATTTAAAATATGTTTTTCGCTACACACTTCTAACCATGTTTCAAAAATGGAAGCTAAAAGCTTCGAATTTAATTTTGTAATTAAATTAAAGACATTAGTTCGATTTAATCCTCAAGGTCACAAACATTTCTTAGAGCAATAAATGAAAAGGATTTGTGGAGTGCCATGATCGCTTGAGGATGAAATGGAAGTAATGTCTTTAATTTAATTACAAAATTAAATTTGAAGCTTTTAGCTTCCATTTTTGAAACCTGGTTAGACCTGTGTAGCGAAAAAAAAACATATTTTAAATCAATTAATTTATAATATTAATGCTCTCTAAATTTACATTTTAGCACTATTTTGCAAAAAATAAAAATATCTATAAGAACACCGGATTATATATCTTACTGTTTCTTTTTTATTTATATATATATATATATATATATATATATATATATATATATATATATATATTACAATTAATCATTCATACAAAAAGTAAATTAGTAAAGTTTATGATATAAAATGGCGAAATCCCTTCACTAACAAAATTTTAAAGATACCTTAACCTACCAATCACTCGATGAATGTTATGATTCTTGATTTAAAATTATAATAATTTTCCCGCCTGAAAATGATTGAATATAAACTCGAAAGTACTTGCGTATTTAAGACAAACCTTATACAGCTTATAATTTTTAAAACAAGGATCACAACATTTACCGAATGATTGGTTGGTTAATGCATCTTTAAAATTTTGTTCGCGAAGTGATTTCGCCATTTTATATCATTACATTTACTAATTTCTTTTTTGCATGAATGATTCATTGTATTATAAATTGAGTTGCGCACCATATGTGATATATATATATATATATATATATATATATATATGAGATCTTAAAATTTAGCGCTGAATGGTTAGATTTTAGAATTTAGGCGCAAGATCAGAATGGACGAATGAAATGACATAGTTGAGTAACTCTATTCTATGCACAGGGCACTTCTCGCACAGTTTCGGTCTTGTTTAATCCACGTCCTGTACAAAATCCCTGTTTTTTTTTATTTATATCTTCTCTCTCTCTCTCTCTCTCTCTCTCTCGTTTTTCTATGTTGTCTTTATATATATATATATATATATATATATATATATATATATATTGATAGTTCGATTCTCTGGGGCACTTCACAGTTTCGGTCTTGTATCTTTGGTATGTTACTTTTATTTATATATATATATATATATAAAATATATATATATATATGTATTTATAGAAAAGGTACAGAGAATCTACTATTGGTACATGGAAACTATATATATATAAATGCCAGTTCAGAAACTAATTAATTTTTTGGATTACCTTTTGTGAGGCCATATATATATATATATTTATATATATATATATATATATAAGAAAGGAAAATGTACAGAAAGTCATGCAAGTAGTTGGCCAGGTGACGAAAACAGATTCTTATCTTCTGTCGATCAGACTGCATGAAATTTGAAGTCTAATTGCCCGTTTGTATTGTTTAGTGTTCCTGCTCTGTCGTTGCCTTAGAGGCATTGAACACATTGGGTTAATTCCTTGGTAAATGCGTTTCATTTCCCTGTCTTATTCCTTTGTTTCTTTCTGTGGTTTTTCTTGTTTGTTGTGTTTTTGTTTTGGCATTTCAGCTTTTTTTTTTTTCGTTTTCGTTTGGGATGTTTGAATTTTTTGAAGTTTTACTATTACTGTCGATATATATGTATATATATATGTGTGTGTGTGGGTGTGGATCTTTATATCCTCGTAAATTCTGATATCGATCAGGTTATTCTATCTATCTATCTATCTATCTATTCCTAAACATGTCATTTTTCCCTATCCCCAGCGGTGCTGGAACAATCTTCATTTCGATTTTTCTACATTTTGAATCCTCAAGGTTTTTCTCTGCTATTTAATCACGGGATTTCTTTTTTTATCATTACATTTTTTTTTAATTTATTTATTTTGTTTCTTTTATCTTTTTATATCCCTATTTTTTATTTTAGTTTTCCTGTCCAACGGAGCTTCCTCGTGTGGCACCACATCTTCTCGTCAATTCATTTCCAAGTGCAAAGGATTCTCCCGATTCAACAGGGGCTTTCTTTTGGAATCAACTTTTATTTGCTGTTTTTATTTTTTTATCTTTTTTATCTCTGCACGATTTTACACTGTCGCTTCTTTTCGACTTTGCACGCATTTCTCTGTTTATATTCACTCTTGCTCAATTTTCGAGTGATTTATCTCCCCTTTTATCGTTTATCGAAATTCTTTTTTTTATCCCTTTTTACTTGCTCACATTATATTGTTTTTTTCTTCTTCTTTTTTATAAATTTTTCTAATTCATTTTTAGACGCAGTTTCATTCTTCTATTTTTTTCTAAACCATTATGGTGCCATGTTTTTTATTGCTTTATTTATTCTTTCCTTTCCTGATTTTTTCTTCTCATTGTATTTTGTTTTCTTCTTTTTTTTAACATCTGTATTCGTTGTTCTTCTCTGATGTGTAATTTGATGCATCGTTTTTTAGAAACTTGTTTTTTTTTTTTTAAATATTCCTTCTTTTTTATCTTCCCCTCATTTGTTCCTTTTTTGCATGTTTTTTTTTTCTTTTCTTCATCTTTTTACTACATATTTTCACTCTTAATTTTTTCATATCTAATTTTGGATGGTGATTTTCCCCCTGCTCTCTTCTGTACTTCAGTATTTTCTTGTTTTTATTTCTTTTTTTCTTTTATTTCAGATGTGTTTTAAACATATTTTTCCTTCATATTTTTTACTTCATCCGTTTTTTTTTTAGTCGTTTCTTTTATCCAATAGCTTTTCATCCATTCTCTTCCCCTTTCGATTCGGCTACTTCTTTCAGTTCTCAACACTATTCTCTCGATTTTTAATTTCTATTTGTTAAAAGAAATCTGCTTGAAATGTTTCCCAGACTTCACTTCCTTAAGTTAATAACTATTCTTTAGATTACATATATGGTCGGAATAATGTCCAAAACATTGATGTTATCAGCTAAGTGTTAAAATCGTTAGCCGGAGGGCGCGAAACCCTTTTCGATATGGAGCACAAAAACTGTTTATTTTTCTCTCCTCACGTCTTCCAAACGACAACTATTGAGCAGTCCTGCTATTTTCTTTCGTTCTTGGGTGATAGTTATAACAAAGATGAGGACATCAATCCGTCTACGAATAACGTACATCCTATTTTCTTCAGTTTATCGTACTTTCTTTATAAAATCGTTCACACATGTTTCAAGTTAGAATCGTATTTACTTTTTTTTTACGCAGTATCTGCTGTTTTGCTCATGAACCAACCTAGAAGCTAATTCTATTTATCAATCCTGTTTTTTTTTATATCTGCATATCTTGTCTTCCATCGCTCGATCACATTGCGGAGAATACAAAATATAATTGATGATTTTAAGACAAGTAAAACTTTTATTCAATATGGATTGTTTCGATACTCTTTGGAAACCCCACTAAAAATCGTTTTATCCATGTATATTTAAGATGGCAGTAAATATATCGATCTATTACTTGTCTCTGTCTCTTGTTATTCACTAAATATTTATAACATTTGATTTATCCATCATTTTGCTTACATTATCTTCCTTTAAACTGAATTTTGCATTATTTCTTCGTCGTTTTCTCTACATTCTGATTTTCCTTCATCCATTTTGCCTTTTACTGAATTTGTTCTTTATTTTTTGTACTTCCATCGTCCTTTCATTCTTTGTCTTGTGTTTGTTTTTTCTTCTTTTCTCGTTATATCTTTCTTTCTTGTTATTTCTCCTTTATTCTTTCTTTTATTTTCTTCTTGCTTTTCACATTCTTTCTTTCTTTCTTTCTTACTGTTTCTGATTTTTCTTGTTTTCTTTCTTTATTCTTGCTTTCTTCAGTCTTTATTGACTCTCGTTTTCTTTCTTCCTCTTTACGTAATTTTTTTTTTATCGTTTTCTTTTTTTCTGTCATGTTTTTGCCGCTTTTTTATTTTTATTTTTTTTATCTTTCTTTCTCGGTTTTCTTTCTGTCTCGTTCTTTTTTTTCTCATTATTCTAATTGAAATATTCTTACATCACATTCCTTCATTTTTTTTTTCTTCTTTTTCTTTCTATCTTCCTCTGCCGTTTTTCGCGTTCTTTCTTCTATTTGACATGTTCTTTTCGATTTAGTTTTTCTTGATTTTCCTCGTACATTCTTTCTTTCTCTCTTGTTTTTCTCTATTTTCCTTTGTTTTGATTTTCTCCGTTTTTTCCATCTATCTTTCTCTTTCTATATTTGTCTTTCATTCTTGTTTATTCGTTTTTTATTTATATTTTGGCTTTCACGTTCTTTCTTACTTTCTTCTATTTGATAATTTTTTATCGTATTCTTCCTTTCTTATTTATTTGTTCTAATCTTTCATTTTTTTCTGTTTTTCTTTTTCTATCTGTTTTTTTATTTTCAGTTATATACGTTCATCCTATTATTTATTCATTCTGTCATTATCATCTTACATTATTTCTTTCTCTTTTTATTTTCATTCTATCTTTCTGTATTACTTGTCATTTTTCTTTTTTTTTCACTCTGCCAGTTTATTTCTTTATGACGAGTTGCCATGTGAATCTGTTTTTATTTATTTTTTTAGTATTATAGCCTTTGATCATTTTTTTCCACATTTCTTTTTCTCCGTTCCAATCTGTTCTTTACATTTTTTTTCTTCCCGTTTTCTTTTTTAAACTTATCTATCATGCCGTTTTTGTCCTTTTATTTATCCATACTTCTTTGTCATTTTGATTTCTATATTCGTTTTTTATTCCATTATACCTATTGATCACATTCTTAATTTGTTCGTTGGTTTGTTTCTTTTCTCTTCATTCATTATTTATCATCTGTCATTTTCTTTCTTTATTTTATCTTCCCTTTTCTTTTCTGCATCTTTCATTCCTTAAATATTATTTACTTACTTTCTCTCTCGTTTTATTCTTTCATTCTGAATGTTCATCTTATTTATTTAATGCTTCTTTCTTCTTCGCCATTTTATAAATATTTTTCTTCCATTTTTTTTTTACCCATTTAACTTCCACCGCCTCCCTACCAACACTTTAACCCCAAACCTAACCCAGTGTGACAAGTGCGTGCCATGATTGCACCAAATTTCAATAAGAAATGACAGCAGTGTGTGAGGAAGCTATTGGCTCGGAATCGTCTTCCTTTCCACGTACGGGTTCCAGCAGAGCAATGCGGCAGCCTTCCTTTACCCAAGGTTAATTGAAATATCGACGCTAAGACTTCTTCCAATGACGATTGCTGCCTAATAACCGGCTCTGTCTCTCTCTTTACTCCTGCGTCACATTTCCACTATACAATACAAAAACAAAAAAAAAGCCTAAAAGATTATTCTAGTTAATCCAATGTCCAAATATTTCCAGGCGTGTTTTAAACACAAACAAAAACCTGTGGAGACTTTATTCCAATTCTCCCGGTGCTTCGGATCTGTAAGAACATATTTGCACCGAAATGTACCTCTGACATATTTACGGTCGTATAATGTTTAAGACAAATTCTTACGCTGTACAAAGAACGTCTACAGCTGCATCTTTATCTTTAAATTCTTGAAGAGAAAATAAAATCCTTAGACGAGTCTTTTAGAATGAAATGTTTTTCTGTAAGAAATTATTTTGTCTGCAGCAATGATCGACTTACAAGACATAGTCCTCTATAATAGAAAAGGTAAAAAAAGATTAAATAAATGATGTGTACTGGAATTTTGGCTTTCAAATGAATCCTAACATTGTGTCTATTTCGATCTCTATCTCTCTGATTCTCACATTTTCCGTCTCATTTTGTTTTCTCTTTCTTTCATTCATGAACTCATCCACGCGTTCTCATCCTCTATCTGTCTATTTCCCTTTCATGCAATAACCATTTTCTCATTCCTTACTTCTCTCAATCAATATTTCATAATATTTCTCTTTCTCTCTCGTTCTTATTCACACTTTCCGCGTATTAAAATATTTTCTTTCACTCACTCATACCATTTCTCTGTATTTTTACCCTATTAAAGCAAACTCCTTTTCTGTCTTCTCTATTATGACTCTTCTCTCTCTCTCTCTCTCTCATATATATATATATATATATATATATATATATATATATATATATATGCGCGGTACTTATTGGAAAGTGCTCATTATCAAACTAACATATTCATTTGTATGGATATGAGTTGTTTGGGTTTCACGTTTGTCCCATGTTCGCAAACTCATATCCATACAAACGAATATATGCGTGTTTATCTATATATATAGGCAGCATATTTTAATCCCTGAAGATGGTATCAGATGAGACTGAAAGAGCTTAAGGAATTATTTGAAAAAGATTTTGGAATTTATCTTAATCAGTTTTCTACAGCCACCGAGAAATTAATTACTGGGTTTGAAAAGATTGAAATAAAATGGGCATAGTATGTCTAAATTATTTAAACAAATCTGCTTGAGTACATTATATATATATATATATATATATATATATATATATAGATAGATAGATAGATAGATAGATAGATAATAACAGAATTACACGGGTCTAGCACCTGTCGAAATGTTTTAAGAAAATAATGATTGATTTTAAATGCTTGTTAAAAGTTGTGGAGAAAAATGATTCATTTCACTATTGCTCAATGACTTTGCGCATGCGACCTCAATCTTCTGGCTTTCTTTTTCTATATTTTGGATAGGAGCCATTCCCTTGTTCAAATTTAAATTTACTTTAAATCAAAGAGCAAAAAAACATTTTCATTGGGTGGGGTGCTCCCTCAGTGATCCACTTTGATCAAAATCAAATGTACTTATCCAAGTATTCTAGATTCATTCAACTGTTGAAATTTAAATTTAATTTAATCAAAGGGGAATACATTTTAATTGGGTTTTCTTCCCACCGGGGTCACCTTTTATTCAAAATGAAATATATTTATCCAAGCACCATAGGAGTCGTTCCCTTGTTCAAATTTAAATTTAATTTAAATCAAAACGGATTAAATTTACAGTGGTGTCGTGTGCTCCCGGAAACCCCTATGAGCAAAATGAAATATACTTATCCAAGTATCCTGGGTATATAGTTTCAGAATATATATATATATATATATTATATATATATATATATAATATAAGGAACCAAGCAAACCTGCATAGGTTTCACCTACGTGGATCGTCAGGGTACGCCGGCCCATCCCTGACGATCAACCTAGGTGAAACCTAGGCAGGTTTGTCTGGTTCTTTAGGTTCGTAGTTAGATTTGTACTACTTAGTGTATTGAGCACTTTGCTGAGTTATTTTTCCTTTACTCGTGTCGGAGGTTTTTTTTCTTTGGACTCCGAGCTTTGATTCTGGCCGATTGTTTTCGCCTGAATTACATGTTCTTTGTTTTTTCTTTTTTATCCCTTATTTTTCCTTGGGTATTGGTTTGTTCATTTACAAGCTAAAACACCTAAGGTTTTTTTTTTCCGGTCGAGTATACTTAC